TTTATTAAATAAATATTTATTTTAATATAATTATTATCACTTTGAAGATTTTTAAATTTTTTTAAAATAAAAATTTTCAGAGATTATTATTTTAAAAATTTCCTAATAGTGTTTTCTAAGTTTATTGACTTGGAATTTGAGATCTTCAAGTTCATATCTCTCTACCAGAGAAAACCAGTTAGCAAATTTTAATGAGAGATCTATAGGTTTGTCAGGAAGGTCAGGTTTTTTAGCAAAATATGAGGTGGATAAAGTATCGAAATTGTAGAAAGCCTTGAGATTGCTTGCAACTTCACTTGTGTTATTTCTTGAGATAATTAGAATGGTTTTGAGGATTCTGATTTTTATTGAGATTGGAATATTTGGGATTATCTGATAATGCTGATAAGTTTTTTTGAATATGCTTTTTGTACATTTTATATAATTTCTGATAGTCAATTTTTTAAAGAGAGAAGTTAATAAAGAAATTGAAACCATATTCTAATAATCAGACTACTTGCTAATGTTTAAGAAATATAAAGTTAGTTGATTTGAGATAGATGACAAAAAGTACTTTTTTGACAATTTTTTTAATCTTGTTTCTATTTATTTAGGTAATATATCCCAAATTGTTAGTCTGGCAATAATTGATATGGAACTGTTTTTCAAGTTTTTCATATTATTTCTGATGTTGCTTCTTAATTAGTTCATCTTTTGCGAATGTTCTAATGAAATCACAGTCTTTGTGCTTGATTTTGGAAAATATATCTTTAAAAAAGATTTTTGGAGTGCCTGGTAATTTGCTTTTGATTTTAAAAAAGAGGCTAACAATTAATTTAGCATTTCTATTACAATTATTAATTTTTTTATATAGTTCTAAAATTTTTTCTTGTTTGTTAAGTTAAATAATACTTTTGATATTAGGAGAATTGATATTATTGTTGATTTGAGATGCTTCTAGCATTTTATTAGTTTTATTAATCCAGGAGCTGGAAAGGGATTCTAGGATTTCTATTGATTAGCTTGGGAAGAGATTCTTATCAACTTCTATATTTGCTGTAACTTATTGGACTGGATTCTGTAGTAAAGAATAGCTAGGAATATTGTGATCTTAAGTGATATATTGTATTGTAGGATTTTTATTTGATATTGCACTAATGTTAGATTGATCATCACTGTGTTTAAGAGTTGTTACATAAGAACTGGATTGATTAATATTGTGTTCAGTAGTACCTGTATATGATGTTTCATTCTCACAATTAAGCTACATGCTATTGTCATTAATCTTTTTCCCAATTAGGGTAAAAGTGTTTGGAGGGAATATGGATGTTTTAGCTTTTTGCTTCAGAAAAAAAGGTTTGATTACTTTATTAATGTTAATATTAATTAAAGTTTAAAAAAGTACCAAACTGAATCAAACTGGTATCAAAATCATATCAATCTATAGTAAATTTAATATATGGATTGTGACCTACTTATATGTTTTTATACTAAATTTAAGTATCAAACTAGTATCAAAGTGGTATCGAAGTGATATCATTAAAAGCCCTAATATCAATTTTATTTCAAAAAATATGAAAACTGTAAGTGAGTTTTTGTTTGAAAAGTTTTTTTATTATTCTAGCTTTGTTAATATTAGATAGGTGGAAGGTATATTGATATTCAAAAAAAATTTTTATTGTTTTCAGGAATATAGGATTTAAAATATTGGTTTTAACTTTGGTATAATGATTTTCAAGTCTTTTTTTGTATATTTCAAAGGATACTGAAATTATTTTAAGGACTTTATAATTATTTTTCTAAAGGTGTACTATGTTAACCATGCTTTTAAAAGGTTTTCAAATTTTGGAAGGTAAATGTTGACAGTGGAATTGATAATATAAATGATATTGGTATTGTTGTTTTTATGAAAGATTACAGTCAGGCATTTGTCAACATCAGTGATAAGGATGTCAAATAAGGTGTGGGTTGGTTTAATAAATTGACATTTGAAGAGTAAAGAAAACCCTTCAGGATTTTTTACAATTTTTTTTTTTGATAATTTTATTTAGATGCAAGTGTGTTTGAGAAAAAGTTTTTAAATGATTTTTATTATTTTCTTAAATAATTATTTTGTATATTTTATATAAATCTTTTTAATTGATAAAAAAAACAATAATTTTTTTTTCTTTAGTATTACATTATCTGGACCTTATATAGAAGTTAAAATGTGCAATTGCTTGCTTTACTATATTGAATTTTTGTTTTATAGTACTATTAAGATTGTTTATTTGAATAATTGCTTTAAAGTATAAATAGTTATATTGAATATGTTAGTTTATTAGAAATCTATATAATTATTTAGATAATTTAAATGATTTAAGTTTAGTTATTTGTTTTTCTCTCACTTTGCTATCTGATTCAATAAGCATTAGATCTTTGTTTAACTCTTCAAAAGTAGCTGGAATAGGTGAGACAAGTATTTATGGGAATTTTTTTGTTTTTATATAAATATTTTCTGTTTAGTTATAAGTAGCATCAATTTTATTTTCAGTTGTAAATAATCAGCTAATTGAGATACTGTCCTTTATTATTGGTTATATTGGCACTGTTTATTTAAGTTTTTGTTTTAATATTGTTTTGACTGTTTATTGTAATAAAATATTAAATAAAAATGGATCTTTACTTCTGGTATTGTTATTGCAGATTGTCATGGCTATATCCTGCCTTTTGATATTCTTTTGACTGTTTTATTATGGATTTTAGGTAATTTGGAGTAAAATAGAAAGAGTTTTTTTTTGAAATAGAATTTTTATTTTCTATATAATTTTACTTAATATGTAGATTCCATATTAAATATAAATTTTATATGGTTAAATTATAATTAGTAAATAAATTACAGTTATTTTATATAGCTAGTAGCAATATTAACATATATAAATTATTTAAATATCTAATATCTGAGTGTAAAAATTCAATAAAAACCAGACTTTAATAGTTTTTTCACAAAATAAATAAATAAATAATTTTTTGAATGTTTAAAAATATATAATTCAATTTTTATATTATTATCAGTTAAGGGACATTTCCCTCCCATTGTTGTTACACACAATATAAATTGTATTATAAAAATAACATTTTGAGTCTTGATTAAGGGAAATGTCCCATGACTATTATAATAAAATTTTTTATTAATTAAATTTTTCAAAAGCAAATATCCCATATTGTATATACAATATTTTTTAAATAAATAAATATTAATATTTTATTACAAAATTATACTGTACAAAATATTTAATTAATAAATTTATTTTATATATAATAATAATTTCTAATAAGTATTTGCATATATAAAATTATAAAAAAATTATTTTTTAAATCTTTACTTTAATAATAAAATAAATTTTAAAAAATACCATTCTTTTTATACTTTATATTATCAGCATTCTATATAATGAAATTAAAACATCTCACGGGTTACGTAAAACTATACAATAATTATCTACAATTATAAATCAAATAAAACTCAATGTAAAAATTTTTCAATTGAAAATCAGCGTTATCGAAAAACAAATCAGTAAGTTCTATACATGAATTCAGATCGAGGATACAAACTGAAAACAAAGATTGAACACAGTTATATAGGTAAACATGATATGGAATCACACTTTTAACAATTTACGTCGATTCCAAAGTATGCTTGAAGAACTAAATCAAAGTCTTTCCAAATGACAGACTCATCTCCCCCACTACTTTTATAATCATTGATATACAAAACAATGTTATGAAACAATCCACCCAACAACTTGGACGCATACTCTCTAGCAGTCTTTTCACCGTATTCCAAGTATAATCCACAAAAGTAGGCTTCAAATGCATTTGCATATTCTTTTTGATTGCATCCTTTTGAAATACCGTTGCTTTCATGTAACCCCAACATCAAACAAAAGGGTATAAACACCCGATTGCTTACCATGAAGTTAATCACATGATTCAATAAGTGGCAATCGGGATATCGAGTCACACCGTGCCATGAAATTGCAACCAACAAGAATCGATCACCAATCCATTCATATCTTTTCCAATCATGTTTATTTTTCTTATACCCACAACATGCAATCTCATGGATAACCGGATGTGCGATGGGCAACGGATCTGGAAGGTGCATTCGTTCACGAAAGGCTTGGAAACGTTTAGATAAAATATAACTGTCTAATTGGTTCGTAAAAATAATCAACGATTTGTTTACGTGTTCTGGTAAATTACGTATAAGCTATGAAATAACGAACCTGTGACCGGCCAGTGCAAGGAGGCTTCAAGATTTTTCAAAGAATCAGATTTCATAGACATCCTTTGATCCATGGATATCATTGAATCCATTTCCTCTCTTAAACTATCAAAATAAGTTTCAAAGTTTATTGTACGAGGATCGCCTGTTAACATGTTGATTCGCTGTTTTTTTCCCATATCCGAATAATGATTGTTCTTTTCTACAGATGAAAACTTTTTCCTTTTTTTTTTATCTGAACCGGAAGTTACACAGTTCAAATCGACTGCTCTATCATGAAACAATAAACCCTCCTTGTCTCTAATGGTTGCGGATGTAACATTGGATTGATGCGATCCGTCCAAAGTTTTATCAATTAAAGATTCTAGACTTGATGATAGTTTTCGAGTTAATTCAAGTGCCTCTTGAGAAGCCAAAAGAGGAGATTCCTTCTTCTCGGAATTTCCATTGCTCTGCTCCTGAGGGACCATTGACAATAATTCCTTCATCATGTCCCGGATAGAATTGGTAAACTCTTCTTTGTATTCGGGATGTGTGGACAAATATTCCTGAACTTTCTTGCTACATATTTCATGATTTGCCGCGAAAATATTAACTGCCACTTGAGTAACTGCCCTTAACTGACCCAGGGACAACTCAGCTGGCAACCTGTTTTTAACTGATCTCGAATCTTTGATGTCAAGTGAAAAGATGAAATCGAGGTCTGTTATTGCGGCCTCACAATCTTTTTTAGGACGCGTAGTAGGTAAAGCTTCTAACTCGACCTGCACCATCATAACCAACACAATAGTTTCGATACAACTCTAAACTTCAAACTTCTTACTTCTTGTTATTCGGGTCTTAATTTTGAAAAAGTGGATATATGTCGCGCTCATCTATTTATGGGAATGACCTGCTTAAAACGATTACTATGATGATGTAAATAAAAGTTTATAATATATGGATTTTAATATTTTAATAGGAGTATTATTATTATAATATAATGTATAGTTTTAATTATTATATACAGTTTAGCCTCGCTATAATATTATATAGTGTAATAATAAAAAATTAAATTTGTTCCACTGTATATGTATATATTTTTTTGTAATTAAACAGGTATTTATTGTGTTTATTTAATCTTTTATAATTAAAAATATAATAGTACATAATTTCTATACATAAATTATTTTACCTATTAGTGATTTAATTTTTAAGTATGATTTTGAAGATGAATAAAGTTATTCTTCCATTCCTGGGAGGATTAATTTTAATTATTATATAATTTCTAATGATTTCAAATAAAATATATCATTAAAGATTTTTTACTTTAAATTATAAAAAAAATATGACTCAATGAATTAAATACAATAGTAAATACATGAATTAAACTTTCTTTACTATTAATTACTACAGTATTAATTTATGTGTGCTTGCACATCTTAATATCTTAAAGAGCATATCAGCTATTATTAATTAGGCTATATGCATATAGATAAATAAGAAAAAATATCCTTGGAGTGGGCGTGTTTAATATGTCGATCTAATAATCGGCTGAAGGTGGAACAAATGGTTTGAAAGAGTTACAAAGAATGAAAACAGCGGAGGATTAAGAGTGGGATGTACCAATGATCGATGCATTTACCAAATATTCAAAACCTCCATATGAAAC